TGCCAAGGAAGGGCATTCTGAACTGTGACCCTGTGTTTCATTTTTTTTTTCTTGAATTGTAGTTTCACTCTGTTGCCCAGGCTGGAGTGCAGTGGCACGCTCACAGCTACTACAGCCTCAACTTGCTGGGTTCAGGTGATCCTTCTGCCTCAGCCTTCTAAATAGCTGGAACTACAGGTGTACGCCACCACTCCCAGCTAATTGATTTATTGTAGAAATGAGGTGTTGCTAAGTTGCCCAGGCCAGTCTCAAACCCCTGAGCTCAGGCAATCCTCACCTCTGCCTCCCAAAGTGCTGGAATTATAGGCGTGAGCCACCGTGTCTGGTTAAGGGGGCAGAATTTTAAGTAGGAAGCAGCCTGGCTTCCTGAGTCTCCAAGGGAGGAGAGCCCCCAAAAGCTGCTGGCATGCAGTGGATTACATCAGGAGCACAAGCCCAGCTTGTGCTGTGTTCAGTGACACATTTCCTGAGACTCCTGCCTTGGCAATCACAGGGATTAGCTCCTGGCAGTCCACAGATGGAGCAGGGTGGATGTTCTCTAGAGCCTGCCTCTGGCCTTATGCTTCCTACCTGTATGGGAAGAACATCCACCCAAAGTCCAGACCCCATCCAGGTGGGCAGCAGTTTTGGGTACACAGAGGACCATCCGCAAGTGTACCCACTCTTCCCTACAGACAAAACCAGGAGGAAAAAAGACTATTTCCGGCAGGAGTTAACGTTTCTTACTCTGGTTCTTTCTTTGGAGTAACCTGTCCAGGTTTCCCAGCATAGAGCTTAGCACACAGCAGGTGGTCAGCAAAGACTGGCCACAATGATGATGCATGAGACTGTATCAGCCCAGGTTGAAGAGGCAGTTTCCTTTTGTACAAGTTCATAGTCATCAGGCATTTATAAAGAAAAAGTTTATTTTCATCACAAGAAGCACACACGCTATGTACAATACACACCAAAAGTAAAAAAAAAAAGTGCATTATGCATCTTCTACTGCAAATTCACAGTACAAAAGATACCGCCTTTTAAATATATAATATAAAAAACAAGAAAAAAACAATATAATTTTTAAAATCATTAATATTGTAACGCCATACACAGGAATCCACTGGCAGCTTCTGAGAAACCAAAGAACAACCGGTCTGGCAGAGCTCCTGGTTTGGGGGGCAGGGAGAAGGATGGTCTGTGCCTACATTTTGTTGTGAAAGAGCTCAGAACACGGAGAGGAAAAGTATGGTGGCGCAGGTGGTAACAGAATCTCTATTAAACGAGAGGACAGTTGTGTAACTGCGGGAACAGCAGAGGCGCCAGGCTCTGGGTCAGAAGCTGCCTGGCCTGCATCACTGCTCACCACCCCCATCCCCCAGCAAGCCAAACCGAGCTCTTCCACAGGCTGCTGCAACAGGCTGTGTTGGCCAGGCCTATCCTGCCTGCAGGAACTATCAGTGCTGCTTCTACCAAGGCTCCCCCAGGACCCTTGTGAACACCGGTAACACTGCGTAGCAGAATAAACACACGCACGGAGTAGGACAGGCTCACATCCTAATACCAACCACTACCGACAAGACAAAGGATCTGACCACAAAGATGAGGGTTTAACAGTTTCGCATAAATACATAGTATTTGTAAACTATTACTAAGGCACTCAACTGTAAAACAATAATTACAGTGTAGGAAAGAGGGAGGAAGCAGCTATGGTCTCATGTAGCAAGGCTGAGAGGAAAGACTGGCGGACTGGGGATCTGGTTAGCAAGACTCTAGTCTAAGAGTGGCTGCAGCTGGCACAGCATCTACCACAAGACGAGAACGAGGCTGTCTCTCAGGACCCACCTAGGGTGGTGCTAGCAGCATCACTCCAGATCGGTCAAGGGGTGACACAGCGTGTGTGGACGCACATGACAATTGGATTCAAGTTCTATATAGTCAAATATATATACATACATATATATGTATGTATGCATATATATTTGCACAGCAGACTCATGCACACAGGCATTCAGTAACAAAACAAGGGGCCAAGTATGGGCGTGAGTCAACAACCTTCATCTGGCTGCAAGGTCAGCAGAAACCCGAATGGTGGGACCAGGACAAGGGACCCTGCATTGTGCCCAGCTCTCCTAGGAGAAGTGAACAGATGCCCTCACTGGGCTGTGTGTGAGGGGAGCTCTGCTGGAGGGCCAGCCAACAATCTAGGGGCTGGGGTGAAATGCATTTCTGGCCAACAGCAAGCAATTCCCTCTTTCAGATGCCTCGGGCAATATGATCTTGACTAAATGATGCAGCATTTGTTCCCTCTAGGGAGAAATGGTCCCCAGGGGAAAGAGGGACTCATCAAACCTTCCAGGATGGTCCAGCCCTGGGGCAAGAACGTGGAAAGACAGGGTTGTCCTGAAGGTCTATCACGTTCAACCTTAGCTCTGTCCTGGGCATGCTTTGGGAACTCCTGAGGGAAGGCCAATCTTTAGCTGAGGAGGGCAGATGGAACAGAAAGGACATGACAGTGTAGTTGCCTGTGCACACAAGGTGAAAAATCTTCATGCCTGGGCAACAGAGCCTCAGAGAAGGGCTTGCCTCCTGGTGGCAAACTACTGACAGCCCAGAGGTTGGCAGGGGTCCTGGCACTGACAGCCAGAAGGCAGAGAATGCAAAGAGAAAGCAGCCTTGTTCTTGGGAAGTTCATGCAACCAGAGACATTGCTAGAAGACGCCAAAGCCACCACTGAAACAGAAATGGAAACTGGCATGGTCAAGCTGTGACCCAAGGGCAGCCAGGCTCTTCCTCTCCTTCACCCAGTGTCCCCTTATACTCAAGAAAACTTGAGGGAAGACAGACGTCCCCATATCAATGCGAGATGAAGCTGCAGAAAGCTCAGTCTAACTCTTGGCATGCCTCATGAGGTGAGGTGCGGCTGACTCCACAGGGTATCAAGCTGACTCAGAACTAACTCAACAAAGGCATTCAATGAAAACAACAGTCACAAAAACACCAGTAACTTGCACAGCAGAAACCTCCTCTTCTTGTGTTACTTGTGTCTGAAACTTTCCCCCTCAGCTAAGACGGACTACAAAGCATCAGCCAAACCATGGTGTAGCTTACGGAGCAAACCTTCTTCAGAGATAGCATGCATCTGTCTCTGCCAAGGTGCCCCCAAGCCTACCAGAATGCTCCTCTTGTTCCTACAGCATTTAAAACAGCAACCTGCCATATGTTTACATGCCACTGATCTGGGGCTCCAAGAAAAATCTTCATCCTTTCCTCCAGGCCAGGCATAAAAACCATCAAATCAAGAATGCATCAGTTTGCTCTGATAATGGGGCTGGTGCCCTCATCTGTTTAGATGCTGAGATACTAGCTGTGCTTCCAACAATGAATGGCTACATTTGCCAAAAGCCCAAGTCCCACTGGCATGTGTAATCCTCCCCATCCCCCTACTCTGAATAAAAATTATGGCTTTCAAAATTAGTTCTCAAAAATATATCACTCTCATACACAGGGTTAAAAAAAAAAAAGTCTGTCATCACCAAATTTAAAAGAATTATTTTGACACAAAAATTGATCTACCACATGAAATTTAATTTGGCAAAGCATACTGAACTTGGTGTTTTTTGAGACTATGCTTTTGTTCGCTGAAGGTGAGGGAGAAAACCTACAGGGTTTCAGGAATGAGTGGATAATCACCTTTTACAGTGATTTTAATAGACACTAGTGGGAAAATAACTTCCTATGAAGCAAAATAACAAATATTTTAAAGAAACATACCAGCGAGACAAAGTTCTCATGAGAGGGTCTTTGAAAAAACTACCCACCAGTTGAAGGATGAGCCAGCCTTGTTCCTAAAGACCTTGCCTGGATGCTTTCAGAATGGCCACTTTTGGGACCTGCTCCTGACCAATGCTAAGATGAAGACTCTCACCCGCTATCAGAATGTGCTGACCCCTGGAGGATTTCTGGTTTCACCAAGTTAATCTGGTGGACGCAGCTGAGGACAAGATGGCACTGTGAGAGACTTCAGCCAGAGGCATGCCCAGATTCCACCACACACACTGCTCCTCCCTCCTGCACCCCCACCGCCAAGTGGGGGGCTGGCAAGGCCTGGGATTGGGAGAGGCATAGGGGGAGGGCCTGGCCGAGGTGTCTGAGAGGCACAGGAGGCTTTAAATGTGCCCAGTTTCTTCCTGCAGGTCATGCGCTGCCCTGTGTGGTCAAATAAAACCAGGGGTCAGCCAGCTTCTTCTACAAAGGGCATGGCAGTAAATGCCTTCGGTTTTGTGGCCACGTGGTCTCTGTTGCATATGATTTCATTTTGTTTACAACCTCTTAAAAACATAAAAACCATTCTTAGCTCACGGGCCACACACTACAGCTTGACGATCCCTGAATTCAACCTTTCTGCCTTCGTGCCAAGCTATTTCTCTCTCTCTTCAAAACGCTTTCACAGTCTCTCCCCCAGGAACACCAGAGGGTCCTTCAAACACAGCGCCCAGGGCAGCAGGACTCCTCAAGCTCCCCTGACTCTTAAAGGGGTCACCCACAGAGCCAAGGCACAGACCACAGATCTGCCCTGGATTCAGACATTGCCACCACTGCTGGGCAGCTGGAGAGACAGGAAGCAGTATTTTTGCTGCAGGAAACAGCTGTGAGGCTTGTCAAGTTAAGCTCCGTTCCTCTCAGAGCAGCTGCTCCTGGAGAGGGACTGACAATTTCTCACTGCGTGATCTCCTGTCAACCCCCGACCTCTCAAACAGGAGTAGCCACAGCCTGAGTGTCTGGGCCGCCAGCAAGACAGTGCGGGTCTAGAACTACCATCCCCACTGGACATGTGAGCATGTTCAAACCCTAAACGCAGCTATGTGCGGTTCAACAGCAGATGAGGCTCCACGCTGCTTGGTGGGTCCTCCCCGTGACAAGGGACAATTTAAGGTTCAGCATTAGCAACAACTGAGATCATCACACACATTTTCCCTACCTGACCCCATTGCTGGCCACCCACTCACTCAGCTGTAACAACACGACCAGGGCAGAGCACGTTATTTAACCACCACTCGGCCCAGAGCTGGACAGTGTGGAAGGCATTTGTCTGAGGCCATCAGCCAGCAGGACTTGGTACAGTCAGGTTAAAAGTCTTGACGTGCCTGGGGTCCCAACTGAAAAACAAAAATTCTCTTTTGTAAAAACCCTTTCAACAAAGCATTATTCCCTGGAACGAGCCTTGGTCATTCTTGTATTTTAAAATTGAAAAGCACAGCAAGAACAGAGGTAGGACTTATGTTGCCATCCGAGAGTCTTCTGCAAGGGCCAGAATGAGCTAGACTGCGAGCGACAGGAATGCTGCCACCACAACAACTCTCCTTTCACAGGCTGCAAACGGAACAGTCAGGATACGTGAGCATATCTGTGTACAACTCTTCTTGAAACGCAGGACTTGGGAGTAGAGTTCTATGTCCACCGGCCAAGGGCCTCTGGGTTCTCTAGGTCACACAGCTAATAGCTCCCTTTCTTCTTGTGTTGCACATTATTTTTGTTTCTCTTCCTCCTCTCTGTGGCAAGAAAAGTTAGGATGACTTCAACTGTTTCAGAGAAATCATGATTACATCATGCCCAAAATCCACAGTGAAACGAAGGGAGAGTCATATGAAAATACACGTCCCAGAGCAGCACAGGTGGGTCAGCTTCTGCCCGTCCACAGGGGGGTCTTCAAGTTTTCTGGGACAGATTTCCCTGATGGCTTGGAGGTTGCAGCTAGGCTCCTGGGTGTTGCCTGGGGCTCCCGCAAGAAGGAAGACTCGCTCAATGTGGCGTCCCGGGAGTCAATGACAGTGGACGGGTCCGCCTCACTGGACAGGTCCTCTGTGGAGAAGTTGAGGCTCCCGAGCTTGGCAAGAGAGTGTGAGCGCTTCAGCGGGGACGAGACAGTGAGGCCTGCCAGCCGGAGCCGGGTCTCGATCTCCTGTGTCCGCTGCTTCACCAGCCCAGGCTTCCCGCGAACACTATGGATGCTGTCACTGCTGGAGCTGCGGGTCAGGTTGGAGCTCATGGACGAGGACGTGGGGGTATAGCAGATGGTCTTCAGAAAGTCTTTCGAGAAATTACTGGTGTGATCCAGGCGGGAGCCAAAGGGCGGGGGGCTCTTGAGAGAGGCTCCTTCCAACAGGGCGGGGGGGGCCTCCGACTTCCCATCACTCCCAGTGTGGCCCGACAATGCCGGGGGTCCTGGCTCACGGAGAGCAGCCAGATCCTGGCTCTCCTCGGGGATGCTGGTCTCCAGCCTGTCAGTGGTGCCATCCCTGGAAAGAGACGCTGGGTCTGCGGGCGTGCTCTTCAGCCTTTCTAGTTCTTTGGTGTGCTTGCGGACCAGGCCTGCCCTCTGCAGCTGAATGATGGACTCCTGGTGCTGCATCAAGTAGCTGTTGGCTGTGGGTTTCTCGGGTTCGTTACTGAACAGAAGCCTCAGGTCCTTGGCTGGCTTCGGCTCTTTCCTGGTTGATGAGTCTTCCTTCACCACTTCCATGTTGGGAGGGTTCTTATCACAGTGAGAATTCTTCAAAAGGAGGGACTTTGGCAGGGCTTTTAGAGTCTCTCTGGAAGGTTCCAGAAGGCTGGCTGGTAGCTCCAAGGCAGCCCCAGTCCCAGAACCACTGATGTCTGGCCTCCTAGAGCCTGCTGGTGATGGGAACAGTGGAGTTTCGGTTGGGCCAGGGGTCGGCTTCTCTGGAGCTCGGGGCCTACTGGTTGTGTGGGCCACAGGGGAAGAGGTGATATGAGGCAGGAAACCTGGCTGGGTGCAGATGGCAGGAGCACTGGGGTCCTCACGCTGCTCTCCGAGGGTCTCCCTGCTGACTGGGGGGTACATGCAGTCAGCACAGGATCTGTAGGAAGGCTTCACCTTGTTAAGGATCCCAAATAGAGCATCGTGCTGCAAGGGGACAAGAACATCGTCAGAGGGTGCAGCCACAAGCCCAAGACCAAAAACAGGGGGAGGCCTAGGGGCGGGCACTGGAGAGGCAGCTTTCACTTCATCTAGGACAGGAACAGCCCTCTCAAAGCCCACCTGGTATAAACCGTGCAGGTGGGGAGGGGGCGATGTCCAACCAACTTCCCAGAGGCTAAGTGCCTAAGACCTCGGCAATCCTTGGATGCACGGCCAGCATGGTAAGAGCCTCCAGGGACCTCCCATCTAAACCCTGCCTCCACCACTTACACAGCATGAGTCTTTTCCTGCCCCTGGTCTCATCTGGAAAACAGGGTGACAATCCCACCTACCAGTACTGTGAGAATTCAATGAAGAAAACCGAAGAGGCCTCACCCTTCAGAAGTTTGGTCTAGGGAGTCTACAGCCTGAGAGCGGAGCCCTCCCTGTCCAGCTGGCCATAGTGTGGCTCCAGAGCCATCATCCAGCTGTGGTCCTCACAAAATGGGCAAAGGGTGAAAAGGGCTTTTGAAAAGACTCTATCGCAGACCCAGATGCTGATGCCCATGGGCCCTGAGAAGAGCAGGTTGGTGTGGGGTGCTTTTTGGGGTTTGTTTGTTTTTTTGAGCTGGGGTCTCACTCTGTTGCCCAGGCTGGAGTGTAGTGGCACAATCACGGCTCACCACACTCTTGACCTCCTGGGCTCAGGTGATCCTTCCACCTCATCCTCCCAAAGTGCTGGGTCTACAGGTGTAAGCCACTGTGCCCAGCCAATGGCGTGGGCTTTAAATGCCAAAAGAAAACATGTCCGTGTTGTTTCCTAAGGAAAACCCCCTGCGTCTGGTCACTAGGTATCAATGAATGTGACACGCACTCACTTCACTTCCTCACAGGCCAACTGACAAGCAGAGCAGCTCTTCTGGGCTGAAACTGAGGCAAGAAAACACAATGGAAACCGAGGGAGCCAACTCTCTCCAGGAGCTGTTTAGCTGGGAGATTCCTAAGCTGGTCTAAAACAAGCCTTCCAGGCAGAGGGATGATGTAGGTTTCTCATAACTTCTCCCTGCAAGAGCAGCTTGGGTGACCCCTTCTTCTCAACTGTCAGGGACTGACACCATATTGTAGACCAACACTGAGGGTATCAAAAGGACGCACAGCTGCTATTCCTGGAACTAGGGTCTTCTCTTAGACAGGAACCCTGGGGCCAGTCACGGGTCTACCAGTAAGACCTGAGTCCTGATCAACAACCTGGTATCCTCATGGCAAGGTCTGAATTATTTTATTTTTGTTTTATTTTTAAGAGGCATGGTCTTACTATGTTGCCCAGGCTGGTCTTGAACTCCTGGGCTCATGTGATCCTCTAGCCTCAGCCTCCTGAGTCGCTGGGATTACAGGTGGGTCACCGTACCTGGCTGAGGCCTGAATTCCTGACCCAGAGAGTTCTCTGAAGCTCTAACTAAGGTGTCTGCATGTCTCTAAAACTTAGACTGAAATAGCTATGGTGGGGGATCTGAGAGCACATTCCAGAGCCCATGGAGCAATGACGGTGGGGGAAGAGAGACTTATCCACTCAGCTCATATTGATGGAGCATCTGCCTCAGGCTGGGACTCATGGCAGGTGCGGGGTTGTGGACAAGACACAGCCCCTGCCTGCAGGAAGCCATTGTCCATGGGAATGGGCCAGAATGCTACATGAAAAGTGTTAGCAGAGAGAAAGGCACATTCAGCCTCTCCACAGAGAGGGAGGGATGCCCAGGGGAACTGACGCTTCTGCCGAGACTGTTGGGGCAGGCGGGTGTTGACCAGGCTGAGAGAGCAGTATGCAGCCCAGACAGGCAGGGGAGGAGGATCCTGGCACAGGACTACAGGTTGGAGGGCAGGACCAGGCAGGAGGGCTCTGTCTTCCAGTGTCCTCGTTCCAAGTTCTAAGCCACTGTCATCCCAGGTGAACACAGCCAGAGGAAACTTAAAGCCCTCCCACATCTCCCACGGTCTAGTCTCATCTGTCTTTTCTTTTTTTCCAAGTTGGAGTCTCACTCTGTCGCCCAGGCTGGAGTGCAGTGGCACCACAGCCATCACAGCCTCAACCTGCTGGGCTCAGGTGATCCTTCCGCCTCAGCCTTCCAAGTAACTGAGGCAGAACCACAGGCATGTACCACCACACCTGGCTAATTTTTTTTAATTTATTGTACAGACAAGGTCTCACCAAGTTGCCCAGGCTGGTCTCGAACCCCTGAACTCAGGCAGTCCTCTCACTTCTGCCTCCCAAAGTGCTAGGATTATAGGTGTGAGCCACTGCACCTGGCTTGTGTCATCTGTCTTTATGGGCATTTGATCTTTGCGACAGTGCTAAGTAGGGAGGTGGGGAGTCTGTGGGTGGTTTATATTGGGTTTGGAGTATGTTATATGACATGGAGGTTGGCAGAAGTAGCTTCCCAGTTCTGCTTGCAACATACCACGACATTAACCGTAAACGGGTTTTGTACTTCAACACATCTGTCACTATCCCGAGTGCCCCTACCTGAGAATCACAACGGACCCGTGAGAGGGCCAGGTGAGGCAGAGGAAAGACCTGCCCTAGGCTTGGGCGAGCCAGCAGCGGAGCGGGGCAAAAGCAGAGATGAGGCTGCACAGCACACCCCATCACTAAGCCAGCCAACGCCCAGGTCACTTCACGCTGCCAGAGGAGGGAGAAGGCTGGCTAGAATTAACAGTCCTCTCAGTGAGCACCAGGTGGAAGCTCGAACCTTGTTGCAGGCAGTCCACCAAATATCACAAATACAAGGAGTGAGTGGAGCTAAGTCTCAGAATCTGAGTTTGAAGACTAGACCCTTGATGGAATCACTGCCAGTCTTCTAAAGGTGTGAAGGATACTGGGGCCATGCTGCATATTGGAACATTCATGGATGAATAAAATGACATGTCTGGGATCTGTTTCAAAATAGACCAGGGTGTGGGGAAGCTGGTTGGGGGTGAGATGAAATAAGAACAGTCACATACTGACAAAGCTTGAAGAGGGCTGATAAATTATGTTTTACATTTTACATCAGAAAAAAGAACTGAGCTGGAAGTCCTGTCTGACAAGTGGCTTAGGCACACAGGGAAAGATGGCATGTGGGGACCTGTGTCATTCCCAAGAGAGCCCCGGTCCACTCTGTGACACACATACCATGTTCCCAGTCAGCAGCAGAACCATGCCTGAACTGACCCACTGGGCACTGGGGACAAGAACTGCTGGCCTGGCAGGGCGGCTCAGAAGGAGCTGCTCTGAGAGCAATGTGTGTCCCCCACACACTGGTCCTGAGCCTACCTCAGAGTCATCTGGACAGCTCCTCTTGCTGTTGTTGTTATTTAGGTTTTCCCAGTCGAGCAGGTTTCTATCCAGCTGGGCTGAAGGCCGGCCCCTCCTTCCAGCTCTGGGGCCCTCCTCCCTTTCCATCTCCTCTACCTGCAGCAAGGAGCCACTCCGGGCTTTGGGGATCCCGAACTCCAGCTTCTTCTTTATGTCCTCGCAGAGCCCAGAACCTTCCTGGGAATGTCTAGCGGGCTTGTGCCCCTCTGCTAGCTGAGCTGCTTCCTCCAATAGAGCATCCCGCTCCAGATCCTCGAGCTGGACCAAGCTGCCAGTGTCATCTTCGGGGGAAGGCACAAGGGGATCCGAGAGTCGCTGGAAACAGCAGGGGAATGTGGGCCCTCCCAGGGTCCTGCCGCCTGGGAGCCCAGGCAGGGTGGCACTGTCTAGGCAGGGCAGCTGCATTTCTGGGATGCCATCTGGGGTCTCTGGCAAGAAGTCACCAGGTCCCACGGGGTCATCTACAGGCTGCTGGAGGCTGCTCTCTGTCTGCTGACGCCACAGCTTGTTGTGCCGCTGTTTGCTATGGAGAAAGGGCAGAGGAAGGTGAGTGGAGATGGTCAGTTCCCTGAGGGTCCCAGGAGGAGGGTGCGGTGGGCAACAAAGGACAGCTCACCATCAGGTGGGTGTCGGGGCAGGCTCCATGGCTCATTTAGGTAAAGGCTCTCTGTTCATTTGCTCCCAAGAAACACAAGAACGACCCTAAATCACCACGGCTCACAGAGGAAGCCTGATAAGACTATCACCTGACGACAACAAGGCAGGTATATGAAGGACGTATCGGCTTGCCATCTGTGTCTGTGTTGAGTATTTAGTGCCATCTCGTTCTGTGAATTCAGTCACGCCATTTATGTTCCATCACTCAGTTTCTCTATCTGCAAATGAGGGTAACGACCCTCTCCTGCCTCTACTACAGGGAAAGGATGGGGATCCGAGCAGAGAGGATGGCAGAATACATACACACAACGCAATTGTGGAAACACCCATCACACTCGAACCCATCCAGGAAGATTCCGGATAGCTGGAAATGGCTGTTTAGGTCAGAGAGATTACCAATCACTTTTGAAATTATTTCTTCTACTACTAGAGTATTGTTTTTATAACACATTTTTAAAGCATAGGGCATAAAAAGAGAAAGGTTTATGGTGGAGTAAGGTGACTAAGTCACCCCCAAGGACCTTAAATTCATACCAACACCATGGGGCTGGGAGGGTCAAGACAAGAGAGAAGTCCATAGAAAGTACAGTGTGAGTGATGAGCTGCTGTTCTTCGGTGCTAGGAGCACCACAACCACTCATTCCAGTCTGCTCCATGTGCAAATGCTATCTGGCATGATTTGAGGTCACAGCAGTTCTGCCGGGAACCCAGTCTGGGAACCCCTGGCTAGGCCGCAGAGGGCACTGCATGCAGCAAGGACCTGAAGGACTGCGAGTGAGGAGCACAGGATGGTCCTTCTTCATCTTCCTTCTCTGGGCCCTGGCTCTCTGCTTGACAGCGAAGGAGTCCAGAGTTGGCCAGAGCTGTTCTCTGGACCCTGCTCAGCCTTGCCAAGGCATGCCTGCATCCCCAAAGTTAGCCAAGAAGCTGATGGACTTAGGCTGTGGCTTCCTTCCAGCAGCGGTTGGAAGCCCTAGCTGAGGTCTCACTTTCTCCCTGCAGGTGTATCTCATACAGACAGAATAGAAAAGGTGCAGGGAGAAAGTGGGACCTCAGCTAGGGCTTCCAACCTAAGAATCTAAGTGTTGGAGGTACAGATCCCTCTGGGACCCCTGGAGAACCCCTACAATCTCATGTGGGCAGGACAGCCTTAGGCCTTCTGCACTAAGCACCCCTGCCATGGAGGCCCACAGACCTGGGTGTGTCCACTCCTGGCTGTGTGACGGGGGGGAAAAATTAACCTCTTAACCATCAGTTCCTTATCCACCCCTGCCCCAGGAAAAGGGGGATAACCTGGACTTTGCAGACCTTTCTGGATGGGAGAGAGATATTATAAAAGAAGGTGAGTTAACTGAGTATTTGCTAGGAGTCAGATCTGCCAAAGAACCCAAGTGTAAATGTAAACTTGTAAGGTACTCACATAAACCTCACAACAGTCCTATTAGGGAACGTTTTCCCCCATTTTTGTCTGTGGTTGAACACATATAACATAAAATTTGCCATCCTGACTACTAAGTACATCTGTGACGTTGGGTGACCACCACCACCACCCACATCTTCAGAATTCTTCCTCTTGTAAGATGGAAACTGGACTCCTTTAACAACTCCCACTGCCCTCTTCCTCCTACCTTTGGCAGCATCCTTCTACTTTGTCTCTGATTCTGAGTACTCCAAGCACCTCATATGAGTAGAAACATGCAGTACTTGTGCTTTTGTGTCGGGTTTATTTCACTTAGCATGATGTGATGTCTTCATCTGCGTTGAGGCAAGTGCCAGTATTTCCTTCCTTTTTAAGGATGAATAATGTCCAGTTGTGTGGATAGGCCATATTTTGTCTGTCCATTATCTGCTGATGGACACTTGGGTTGTTTCCACTTTTTGGCTACTGTAAATACTGCTATAAACATTAATGTACAACTCCCTTTCTGAGACGCTGCTTTCAATTATTTTGGATATATGCCCACAAGTGGAATTGATGGATGATACAGTAATTCTATTTTTTTTTTTTGAGGAGGCACCATAGTTTCCCACAGCGCCTGTACCAATAATACCCACATTAAAGTGGGCATTAATTCTGAACTCCAAAAAGGAAACCAAGGTTTGGGGAGACTGATGAGTTTGGCCTAATGCACCCAGCCCATCATCAGTGGAAACTGGTCGATCTGCCTCTGCCATCCTTGGCTTGTCCCACAGCGAAGCCTGTGCATGGAGCCCGGCACAAAGCAGATGCCCAGGAAACGGGACATACACATGCCCATACCACACACCAAGGTCATGCCTTGGTTGAGAAGCTGGGCACCGTTCCCTCTGGTAGCAAAACCAGCTTTATGTGTGTGCCAACAAAATCAAAGCAGATCCCTCCTGGAAACACTAAATCAAAGCCAAAACAATAGTTTTTCTCAAACTGGCACCCCCCGAGAGGCAGGATTTTGGCTGCAGAATCTGTTGCCAGGTCAAGTGGGAGCACGCACACAAGCCAATGGGCTGCCCCAGGTCCATCTGCCAGTGCTTTTCCCCAAGCAGGCACCTACCTTGCATCCAAGATGCCTTCATACTCAGACAGCTGCCTCATAAAACCTGCGTTGGGCCGTGTGATGCTGCGCTTCTGTTTCACGTAGTTGTATGCTTTTTCCAGAGGCCAGCCAAATTCCTTCATTGCATAGGCTATGACCGTGGAAGCAGATCGACTGACGCCCATTTTGCAATGTACCAGGCATTTGGAATGGTTCTTCCTACCGGGTGGTGGGGGGGGGAGGTCAGAGGGGAGAGAAAGAGATAGCATCTCAGCAAGGCAGGCAACTTCATTCTCTCAGGCGTTACTCAACTTTTTTTTATCTCACTGAAGTTGTCTCATTGCCTAAATCCTCCTCTGTCCTAATGAGATTTCTGCCCACCCTCTAAAGGAAGTAACTTCCCTATGAAATCAATTGGCATACAATGGGCAATCCAAAGAAATCTGTCCTTGCCTGGCCAGGCTCCTACAGGGAGTGCTCTAGAATCTGGCTGCCTTCAGGGACAAAATAGGAATCTTCCCACATCCTGGGCCAGGCTACGTGACCAAAAACCCTTTCCTGAGAAGCGACTGGGCAGCGAAAGGGATTTCTGCAAAGGCTCTTGTTCAGCTGCTACATCAGAACGGGACCAAGTTACTATGGAAAAATAGGGTCAGCAAACTGAAAGCTGCAAGCTGCTGGGAGAGTGAGACACTCATCAGACAGGAAGGCCAGGGAGAGAGAAGCCAGGGGAGAATACGGGCTGAGCTGGCATTTGTAAGGAGGCAGTGCTGGCCCAGGTGTAGCTGATTTGCCAGATAAAGTTAGGCTGGGGAATGTGCCTTAAATATCATTTGCTCAGGCGTGTGAGGAAGCACCAAGCCAGCAAGGGCTGCACCTGTGAAACTTTGTGCAGCAGGCAGACCCACCAGGTAGAAGCAGGCTCCTGTTTCCTACAGCCCAAGCTTAAAGTTTCTCCCCAAATCTCAGCAATTTTTGTGGGGGGGGGGTTTATTTTTATTTTTTGGTCTTTGGTGTTTTATTTTTGCTGGTCTGAAACTCAGTCGAATCTGAGTATGTCTCCTGGGAACATGAGAGAACTAAGATTTGCTAAGGACACATTTTGAAGCTTTGACCCAGAAGGGACAAAGCAAAAGGGTTTTTCTTTTTCTTTTGAGTAGTAATCTCACTCTGTTGCCCAGGCTGGAGTGCAGTGGCATGCTTACAGCCACCACAGCCTCCACCTGCTGGGCTGAGTTGATTCTTCTGCCTTAGCCTTTTCGGTAACTGGAACCACAGGCGCGCGCCACCACACCCGGCTAATTTTTTAATTTATTGTAGAGACAAGGTCTCGCCAAGTTGCCCAGACTAGTCTTGAACCCCTGACTCAGGCAATCTTCCTCCCAAAGTGCTGGGAGTACAGGCGTGAGCCACTGCGCCTGGCTGGTTATTCTTTTGATAGCATTTCACGGGGATCCCTCTTTCAGTTTCTGACTTCAATAAGGCAGAGTTCAATAAGGCAGGAGAATAAAATGAGCATGAGAGGTGGGTGAAACCAGTGGCGGGCTAGGGTCGGTGGGGCTGGCCATGACCTCTGATAGGCTGTCCATCCCACATGACACTAACTCAGTTGGGCTGTCTTCTTTGGGGAGGTAGTCCCAGAGGAACTCTAAGCCTGCAGATGTGCCAGCCCACCTGTGGCTCAGTGAGTCCGCAGGGGTAGATCTCCCAAGAATGTCCAGTGGGTGTTGCATCCTTGCCTGTAACCAGTTTCAGTGAGGAACACTGGGGTCAAATGCCACAATAAAGAATAGGTGGGAGAGAACACGCTCATGAACACCTCTAACAAGAACGGCTAAGCCGTTAAAACCAAAGGTGCTTCAGACATCAATGCGCCCTCCAGCAAGTCAACTCCTGTGTCTAGGGTCACCACTGGTTTCAGCCACCTAGCATCTGCTGGTCAGCTGCTTCCTCAGACGGTGCCTCCGCCCACTTACTTCGCTTTGTTGATAAAATGATAAGCTTCATTCCAGTGGGCAAGAAGATCTGTTGTCTCTTCATCATAGACTCGTATGTTATGATATGCGAATAAGCCAGGAAAAAAGTTATCTATTTCTCTAGTGACATTTAAAATGTAGTCAACCCTGCAATGAGAATAAAACACAAATTTGGAGAATCAGAATGAGAGACTACCAAAAAAAGTAATAAAAAACTGGCAGAGAAAAAAATAAGTAAGCATTAACGAAGGGTAACATATTTGTGGTGGGATTTTTGTTTTTCCTTGTAGTATTTTTTTTTTTTGTATTTTCTAAATGCCCTCTGTATGACAGGCATATATTATATTTTTATTAACATACCACATTTCTTTATTCTTAAAAACCTTATGCAAAAGAAAATTCAGTTCAAAAGCATTCTGGAAAGTAAATATATGTATTACGTAAGTATATTTCTAAACTCTTTAAGGTTTCAAAATTCATAACTTGTGTGAGAACACAAAAGCTAAAAAAAAACTTAAAAACCAGTCTCCACTTTTAAATTGTTTTTTAAAAAGAGTATGTCCATCCATTATTTAATATCCTTGGGAATTGCCTTAAATCCTTTTTAAATAAGACAAGATATAAATTAGTATTTGAAAGGGCCTGCTAAGCCAGGTTCTGTAGTCCTTTAAACTTAATCAATACTTTTATTTATGGAAGAACAAAATAATGTCAGGAGTTACAAAATGCTTCAAATAGACTTCATAGGAGAATACTTATACATGCTTTTTTAAAAAAACTTTAAAAGTCATTAATTTACTCCCAACAAGACACAAAGCCTAGAGCATATTATCTTACATTTTAAGAATACATCTTAACCAGTCGTTCCAAAGATATATTTTAAGATTTGTTTAGTCTTGATTTTTAAATGTAGTAATTCAAGAATGCCATCAGGTCAGACCCAAAGAATGGTGATTATGTGGCTGTGTTGTTAAAAAAAAAAAAAAAAAGTCCAGACATCTGTTCTTGAATGTCTAGATTTAAACATTCTCCATTTCCGTTGCTGAGCATTTCTCAGACCAACTCAGGCATGTGCTTCTGGCCAACACAGTGTTTAGTTGCGAGATTCCCACCAGGCCCAAAAGCATAATCTCTGATGGAGCCAGGAGGGCCCAGGGGTCAAGGCTGCTGAATGGCAAAGAGGCCAGATCTCTGCATCCACCCTGGAATTTGCAGCAACTCTGCAGGGCAGTGAGAGGTGGCAGGGGAAAGCTCAGAGCCTAATCAATATCTAGGCTGTCCTATTCCAATGGAGTATGATTTAGAAATGTCCTTCCTGACACACACAATCACAGGAGACTCCAGTAAAGTCTAAACTCCGTGAATTATTCAGGGTGTGGCATTTTGAAGCACATCTGTGTAGCTATGCAAAGCATCACCACAACCACTTCAGAGACCAGGGTGCAGGCAGTTACAGGCAGGCGGCCGAGGTCTCGCCCTCAATGGCAGAGTGGAGGGTTTCTAAGCTGCCTGGAAGGACAGGGAAAGACACGGGGAGGAGACTCACCCTGAGCCCTGCAGTTCCTCCAGATTGGATGCATTCCATTCAGAGCCCTGGGAGACAGATCACACAAACCCCTGTGAGTGTCACATGCCAGCCTCGGAGCTGCTTAGGGGGTGCATGGTTTGCCCTAGGCCTGGTGGTGAGGTCTTTATCTCATGGGCCCTTGGCCTCAGAGAACAGAAAGAACAGTGGCCGATGTTTGAATCGGTTCCTGAGTACTTGCTGCATCACCAAAGTGTTACAGAAAGAAAGGAAGCAGGGAGAGAGGGAGGAGGGATGAGTCAGGGCCCTCACTGGCTCCCTGGCTTTAGGGGTGAGCAAGTCCAGGAGAACCTGCTCCTTGTCTCCCCACTTCCTTTCCTGATTTCAGTGGGCTCCCATAATTAGAGGCAATGACCTGTGACCTCCCACCCAGGGAAGGGCATGTTCACAGGCCACTAATTAAAGCAGGGAATTGTTCTATCTTTTCTGGGAAGTATTTTGGCAGTATTAAAAAAGTTCCCACCCTCTGACCCGGTAATTTCATTTACAAAAAGCTACCCTGAGGAAATAATCAGAATTCATACCGAGACAGGTACGAAGATATTTACGGTTATTTGTAATAAAACAGTGGAAACCACCCAAAAGGAAAAAAATTAATAAAATAAATGATGACGAATCCTCATGATGGAGCCATTAAAATAAATCATATTTTTTGCAGAATATTTAATGACATAAGGAAACAGCACATTAGGGGGAAAATGTAAAAAGAAGCAGGTTATAAAACTATGTAAACAAACAGCATGACCCTTTTCTTTCTTTCTTTTTTTTTTTCCATTTGAGGTCAGGGTCTCAGGTTGGAATGCAGTGGCATAATCATGGCTCACTGCAGTCTCGACCTCCTAGGTTCAGGCAATCCTTCCACCTCAGCCTCCCGAGTAGCTGGGACTACAGGTGCATGCCACCATGTCCAGCTATTTTTTTTTTTTTTTTTTTAAATGAGGTCTTGCTACATTGCCTAGGCTGGTCTTGAACTCCTGGGCTCAAACAATCCTCCTACCTCAGTCTCTCAAAGTGCTGGGATTATAAGCATCAGCATCTTTCTCTTTCTTTTTTAAAGAAGCCATATATGCATTTAAAAAAAACAAAAAAAAAACAAAAGACATGGAAATAAATATACCAAATGCTAACAGTGACTACTTCTGGATTTGTGAAATTGGGAATGCTTTATTCTCCTTTTTTAGACTTATTTCCAGACTTTCTGCAACATGTTTTAATTTGTCTACTAATTTATGTTTTTGAGTCAGGATCTGGCTCTGTAACCCAGCCTGGAGTACAGTGGTGCAATCATGACCTCGACTTCCTGGGCTCAAGCGATCCTTTTGCCTCAGCCTCCCAAGTAGCTGGGACTATGGGCATGTACCACCATGCCCAGCTAACTTTTTCGTTTTTTGTAGAGATAGGGGTCTCACTATGTTGCCCAAGCTGGTCTCAGACTCCTGGCCACAAGCAATCCCCCTGCTTTAGCCTTCCAAAGTGTTTGAATTACAGGTGTGAGCCACTGCACCCAGCCATGTTTTAATTTAATACTTTCAAAAATGGTATCATTAAAAAACAAACCTTCCATTCCCAAGCATTCAAAGAACATGAAAAAGGGGGAAAAAATCACTTTGCTCTTAAGAAACGCAAACAACCAGAATCACAAAAACCAAAAGAATCCGTCTTAGACTCCCTATAAAGACATCCTTTCCCAAGCTCCCAAGAGGGCAGACACCTCAGGATCCGGGGGCTGCAGGGCCCCAAGTAAGCTGGCAGTACAGTGCAAGCTGGACTTTTGTATCTGAGGGAGAGGCCCAAACACATAAATTCCTTTGTTATCTCTCATGGAAAAAGTAACATAAAGCACCAAATCACAGTGAAAAAGTAAAGAACTCTCCACTAAGATGGTGAGCATCCTCTTGCCGTGACCACCACCTAGTGGAGAAAGACGGGACGAGGGTACCTTTTGTTCACTTTTTGCCAAGGAAATCAACTTCCCAGAGATTAGTGTCCAATGCTTCCCAAATAGCTTTCAAGATGGCTTCAAATCCACACATTTATATACATGTTACTATAGAAATATGAAGTCTATGTGAATAGCTTTATATATATAAATACACTTTATATATATATATATATATATAAAGCTATCCATTTATAGACAACCATGACAGACACATTTGGACAACTCTTAATTCCTACAGGCAGCAGTCATTCACGTCCCTAGTGGCAAATGCACTTCCTCAGCTTCCCCAAGAAGAGCTTTCTCCTCCAACAATGGTCACCATTTATCAGCATTACAGAAAGTGCACTTGGTGCTTTAAATATGTATTTTATTTTCCTTTAAAATATTAGAGACGTTGACCAGACTGGTCTTGAACTCCTGAGCTCAAGTGCTCCTTCCACCTCAGCCTCTCCAGGAACCAGGGATACCATTTCAAGCCACTGTGCCCAGCTTGTATTTCCCTGAATCCTCTATAATCCTCCCATGAGGTATAGGCTGAAGAATAAGAGAGGCAAAGTGACTTGCTCTGACTCACACAGCTGGTGAGGCTGAGGAGTGGGAACTCAGGTCCAAGAGGGTCTGCTTTTCATGACACCACATGGTCTCTCTAATTTTAGCAACATGCCTTGCTCTATATTCCGACTTTGCCAGTTGCCTTCTATGGAAATTTACAACACTAAGATAATTTGAGCAAGCCACAGAGGTGCAGGGGGTCAGTACTACCCACCCGGAGCTACAGGATCCGGGGAAGGCACCTCCAAAGGGCTCTGGAATCAGGGCAGGGGAGTTGTTGTTTGAACAAGCTTGGGAGGAAAGCTGGGTTTCAGCTGTGTGATCTTTCTTTCCTGTCATTTCTTATGTCTCAGGAGGCCTAGGCATAATTCTGGGATTTGGTGAATATGTATTCTTTAGTAGCTGGGGTGTTGTAGCCCACGAACCATTCGGAAGTAACTGGATGAGGCCTGTATGTTAGTGATCGAAGAAGACAGAGGTTTGAGAGAATCTGAGGACACCTGCCACTGACTATGCCAAATGGCTCCCAAGCAACTCCCTGCAGAACAGCTGGGAACCACATCTCCAACCTCTGGCTCTAGAGGAAACCAGTAGGCTGCAGGCCGGAGAAGGGATCAGAGGGGCATTCCCGTCAGTCGAGAGGGAGGCTCCAGTAACTCAAGTTTTGTGCCTGCTTTTCCTCTCCAACTTGCTGCAAGATCCAAACAATCAGGGTCTGATTTATGTTCACCAAACCAAACACTGCCACAGCCGTGCCTCTTACGAGATATAGATGGTCGAAGATAAGGGAGGGCTTGTCCATCTGTCCCAAGATCAGTAGCATCTCATTGTCTATGAATTCCTTGAATTCCTTCAAGTTACAGTTCATCTGTTTCTCTAATTCATTACGGATCTGAGGATGGAAAACAGCAGAAAAAGTGATTTGTTAAAGAAAGCAGTTGTCCACCTTCAAAGAATTGAAAGTTACAACGCAAACTGTGACTGTCTCCAAAAAAGGTATGTGTGTGTTCTTCCCCGAATAATACATTAGACATGTGCGGCACACATGTGTGGATGGCAAGAATGAAGGTTACTTAGCCTAAAAGTAAGCCCAACTGGGGAAAGCTTATTATGTCAAATAAGAAATCTGATTTCCATGAGATCTTTTCTGCTAAGTTTACAGCACTTTTACAATTAAATATTAAATACATCACAGAATCTAAGATCAGTTCCATTTTGCTTAGGAAGGTATCAAAATATAATTTTTAAATCTATTAAGTAATAAAAAGATTACATATGACTTTTTAAAATGGCAATTTCAACCTCTGAGAACTACCCAGGTAGTTTAAGCTGTTATGATTCCATGCATTCCTTGAACAAAAAGCAATGGAAAAAAGTGATCCAGGAAAACATTAAAAGGCAAAGAGAAGGTACAGAATTTGCAACTTGCCAATCAGTTGCAGTCCTAAGGAGAAATCAGTTTGCTGCATCTTCCGTGAAAGTCAAGGTAATATGAGGCAGAAGAAGGAAGAAGAGCAGGTGTCAACAGGTAAATGTTTCTCAGTGTTTCTACAGATCTTGTGGAATTCCCACCAAAGGTCACATAGGTGAGGCTCAGGAAGGTCAAGAAATCTGCTCAAAGTCTCACAGTCGCTAAGCAGCAGATCTGAAGTCAAACTAGAGTTTGACTCCAAGGTCTGTGAGATTTCCACTGAGCCCTGCCATCAGGGTAGAATGAGGCAAAAGAAAGCCCAGGGAGCAGATAGGCAGGTTGTAAAGACAACCTGGTGCCAGGTCACTTCTGCCATGCTTTTGACAGCAGGACACACAAACACATAGGACCTCTGGCCTGTTAGGAAGGGGGGAGTGCTCTTACTTCTTTGGAGGTCACGTTTTCTAGATCCTGGCTCATCATGATGCTTCGGAGTTTGGCTTTAATGAGGCGCTCCGTCCTTTCCCCTTCAGTTGGCCTGGAAAGAAAAAAAGTTTAGGAGAGTACAGAACTATGGGAAACCTGAGGTCAGAGGTTACAGAAGCCAGATGCTCCTGGGTCTAAACAGGGTGTGGCTTGGCACAAGAAGCTCACTTCTGGGACTGCATGCTCTTCAGAGATTGGGAGAGGGACACAGAAAACTCGCTCCATCTCTAGAATTCCCATAGGAGTCAACAGAGTGGAGAGCAGATCCATCGGACGGGTGTCACTTTGGAAACTCACTCTTCATTCAGGCCCTACAGCGTCAGACACTCTCTAGGCAGGACGCTGGAACAGCCACTGTACCGTCTCCATGCCCTTGGGCCCTTTGGTCTCTGCCTGAGCATTTCTGGGTATAAGGACCTCACTGCATCCCGAGGCAGACAGGCCCCGTGGTGGCCAGTTCTCATGATCTCCTTCTCACACAGAATCAAAATGTATGTATTTCCCTGCATACAACTCTAGTTTTAACTCTTGGGGCCACACAGACCAGGATAATCCTTCTCCATGATGACCCTTCAAATACTCAGAGCAAGTATCCTTCTCCCAAACTGTCTCATGGTCTCTTTGGGGCCTCGTGTGACAGCTTCCTTCATTCAGGTGGTTCCCTCTGAGCACGCTGCAGTTTGTCCACAGCCCTCCGAAAATACAAGTGTCCTGGAGGAATTCAACACTCTGGGGTCCTGACCAAGAGAGTGGAGCAATCAGCTTCCTCTTTCTCAGCCAGGCTTCAAGGAGTGTGGCCTCCGGCCACGCCAGCACTATCAGAGGTCATGTGACACCGATCATGCGACTCACCACTGCCGCTGCTAAGGCAGGATGCCCTCAGTAGTTGTGTTATAGGTTCCAAGGAAGCAGAGGTCACATTCATAACTCTCCTAAGAGCGGGGGAGGGGACTTTGGGAATGAAGTTTGTGGCAATCTGACAAGGAAAGGCCAGACCATAGAGCACTACGAGTTACTGGTGACATACAGGGCCACACATTCCTTTGAAAAACTAGCGGAAGTTATGGATTCACCCCCAGAAATATATTCACCACATCTGTCAATAATTTTTTTTGCAGGGGGGAGGGTCATGTTACAGACTAGCTTTAAAGTTCTGGGAAAGGCAGCTCTCGATGAAGGGATCCCACAGAAAGTCTGACCTCCTGCAGGCTCAGCGTCAGGCACAGGATGGGAGTAAATGAGGGAGGCCCCAGTGGGCACTGGCGGGTTCGCACAGGAGGTGCCACCGCACTTACTTGTCAACAAACAGGGCCGGGGAGTCAGGCCGTGTGGACTCCAGGTCCTGCATGGCGTTCCATTCGTTGATGCAGCTCTGCTCCGAGCTGATGCAGCTCTCATAGTAGGTGGCCCAGATGAGAGCTACGCCCCCGGGGAAGTAGTTGTGCCTGCGGGCCACTTCGCAGGCCTTGTGGAGCACCTGCAGGGCAGACCTGGGTGAGGGGGGAGAGGGTAAGGCCTGGGAAGGCAGAAGGAGGACTGGGTTTTCCCAACAAAAGCTTTCAAATGGGGACCGGAGAGGGTAGTTCCCAAAGGACTCACTCTTGGTGTAGTGCTTACACAGAAGGCATGTGGGGGATACACGGCAGCTGGAAACTTCCCACCTGTCAGATCCCAGAGCTAGTCCCCATGACACAGTCACTGAGTCCAAAAGTGGACAGAACATCCCTCACCATCTCCAAAAAGGAGAAAAAGAAACACCAACCGCAAACTTCATAACTCTTCCAATCAGGTTAGTTCACACGTTATTTTACATTCCATCAATTAACTCCAAAGAATTAAGGTTTACTTCTGAAGCTGTGATAGCCTTGAACATAGGAACCACAATTAAGTCTGGCAACTGGAGAGAAAAGTCTTTAATATGCAACAGAGACTTGTGACTGCATTCTAAAAAATTTAATTTCTAACTAGCAGAGATGCTTAGATTTCTTAGAAAATGAATTCTAGAAACTCATCTTAATACACAAACTAATTGAAGAAGAGGTTTAGGGAAGCAGAATGAGGCAGAAGAAACTATTTAAAATGTGTGCGTTTTACTTAGTCACTCTCTTTTATTTCTTTTTACAAAAAGATAGGCTGAAATTCTCTTAGTGAATGGGACGAACTAGGCATCAATGAAGATGGAAGAGTGAAGCCTTGAGATGAAGGGATCGTCAGAGAACAGCTCAGCGGTGGCATAAAGAAATACTAAAAATCCACTTTGCTTCTCCAACTGCACATAATCCGTCCCATCTGTAGGATGGCTGAGAGAACACACTGAGGCTGAATGCTGACTAAATTTAGTTCTGTTTCCAAAGTTTTTAGAAAAACACGTGAGCCTATTATTTACTTGCCTGTCGGCAACATATTATTCAGAAACCCAGAGAAACACCTGGGACATCTGTGGGCTCCTCATCCAGAATTATGATTTCATGATTTTCCCCAAAATGATCCTGAGTTGACTGCCATGTGAGTTAAGAGGGGGTGCAGATGAAGCACACTTTAACCTGCAACCACAGGAGAATCCTGCATGACATTCACGGTCCCAGAGAGAAGTTGAATCATGTAAAAACACTGGACAGAACACTTCTTATGATACCAGCTGTCTCCCTGTGTCTTTTTTCAGAGTATTCAAAGGAGACTGTGGTGTCGAGTTTGCTGCATGAACAGTTTGCGTAACCCTCCAAGGAAGACAAAGATATAAAACGAGCCAAGTTCAGGAACTGTGATTGTAGCCTATTCACCCCAATGCTGCCTCGTCCTAAAGGCAGAATGTTCCCTGGGAAGTCCTGCTCCCACCCAGGTTCCAGGACCTGCAGTAAATATTCCATAGCCTGACGTCCTGTGAAAACACCCCTCCCAGCACTCCTTTGTATAACAAGGCTCTGTTCATATATTTGTGGCCACTCCTCTTCACAGACTTTAAACCCTGTGATGACAGAATTACGTCCATTTATGACTCCCCAAGTGCCCAGAGTCTAGCAGAGTGCTGTTTCTTTCATGGGCGAACTGAGTGCTCACACTGTGCCAGGTACAGCGGATACATGAATTTATGCCAGAGCAACATCTTGTCAGCAGGAGCTACAGAGATATAAGAACACACCTTCAACAATAAAAAAAAGCAAACCCAATTTAAAAATGGGTAAAGGACTGAAACAGACATTTCTCCAGAGAAGACAAACGCATGGCCAATGGCCAATAAGCACATGAAAGAATGCTCATGACAAATAGTCATGGGGGAAATGTGAATCAAAACCACAATGGGATACTATTTCATACCCACTAAGATGGAAATTATTTTTAAGAATGAAAAATAACAAGAGTCGACAAGGATATGAAAAAACTGAAACACTGCTTTATAGGAAGAAAAGCAAAATGATGTCGACACTGCAGAAAATAGTTTGGCAGTTAAACTATTTCTCGGTATCTTCTTAAAAGAATTGAAAGCAGGGACACAAACCAGTAACACTCACAGCAGCATGATTCACAATAGCCAAAAGGTGGAAACAGCCCAAATGTCCATCAATTGACAAACAAGTAAATAAAATATGGTCTATCCACACAATAGAATATTATTCAGTCTTAAAAAGGAAGGAAATACTGATAGATGCTACAACAGGGATGAACCTTGACAACATGATGCTAAGTGAAAGCCAGACACAGAAGACCAAACATCGTATCGTTCCATCTACATGAGGTACTCAGAGTAGTAGAAATCACAGAGACAGAAAGTAGGGTACAGGTTACCAGAGGCAGGGAAAAAGAAGAAGTTATTATTTAATGCATGGAGTTTCTATTTGGGATGATGAGAAAGTTCTGAAAATGGAGAGTGGTCATGGTTGTAAAACACTGTCAATGTACTCAATGCTACTGAATTTACACTTAGAAACAGTTAAAATGGTAGACATGCATAAGTGTTTGCATCTGAATGAGCTTCTCAGTGGAAGGGGGTTTCTTTTTCTTTCTGTCTTTTTTTTTTTTTTTTGAGTTGGAGTCTCACTCTGTTGCCCAGACTGGAATGCAATGGCACAATCACAGCCAACCCCACAGCCCCAGTCTGCTGGGCTCAGGTAATCCTCCCACCTCAGCCTTCCAGGTAGCTGGGATGACAGGCACGCACCATCACACCCAGCTAATATTTTTATTTCTTAGAGAGACAAGGTCTCACCATGTTGCCCAGGCCAGTCTAGAATTCCTGGGCTCAGGCAATCCTCTCACCTCAGCCTCCCAAAGTGCTGGGACTACAAACATGAGCCACTGTGCCTGGGCAAAGGAGATTTTCTATTCATGATGTGCTATCAGCTAAAAAATATATATCTAAGAAGTTAAAAGTTCCTAAGAGCACACTTACCACATGGCCTGGACAGAGACAGGCTTAAATATGTGCATCCTTCCTGCTGTGCTCACACTGAACCCACTGAGAATGAAAAACAGAAAGATACCTCTGGTGAGAAATCAGACCCTTTCAATCAAATCACTTTGAGATGACAGAAGTAGGCCCACTGTGGACGCTTAAGAATAAGCACACCTCACTTGTCTGATGACGGATCACAGCCCCCACTGCACCAGAGACAAAGGCAAAACCAGAAAGCAGTATGTGCTCAAACAAGGAAGGCCTGTTCTTTTTCTTTATTCTTCCTGAGTCAGGGTCTCACTTTGTCTCCCAGGCTGGAGTACAGTGGCACAATCACAGCTCACCACAGTCTCAACCCGTTGGGTTCAACTGATCCTCCTGCCTCAGCCTCCCAAGTAGCTGGGACTACAGGTGTGTGCCACGAAGCCCAGCTAATTTTTTAATTTTTTTTTTTTTTTTTTTTTTTTTGTAGAGACAAGGTCTCACTATGTTGCCTAGGCTGGTCTCCAGCAACCCTCCACCTCAGCCTCCCAAAGTGCTGGAATTACAGGCGTGAGTCACTACACCTGGCCTATGAAGGCCTGTTTGTTTTTTTTTTAAGTTGGAGTCTCAATCTGTTGCTCAGGCTGGAGTGCAGTGACACACTGCACCCCAGCGTCGACCTGGTGGGCGCTAGAGATCCTTCCACCTCAGTCTTCCAAGTAGCCAGAACTACAGGCGTGCACTACCATGCCTGGATAATTTCTTATTTATTGTAGAGACAGGTCTTGCCAAGTTGCCAGGGCTGGTCCTGAACCCACAGGCTCAGGCAATCCACTTGCCTGGGTCTCCCAAAGTGCTGGTATCACAGACTGAGCCACTGAGCCCAGCCCAAAGGCCTGCTTTTAACCCAGCAATGTGAGCTCTACCAAAAACTGAAAGCCCAGCAAAGGGTGCGAGGCAAGGCCAGCATTCAACATCTCTTCTATGTTCCTACAACTGTCCCTGCCCACCACTGCCTCCTGCTCCACATATCCAGCCAGTCTTTTAGTAATTCCCATAGATTATATGTGGAAAATACACTCATGGAACTGCATGGAAAATAATCAAGAGATATTAATATGTCAGTAAAAATAATATTAATATAAAACATTAATATAAATTTTAAATAGGAAAAAAATAGCCTTATAATCCTATCACTTCATCAAGTCAGGTCTTTATTTTTCCTTTCCCATCTTACCCATGAGACAATGAAACTAACCTGCGTGGGGTTCCACTGCAGAGACAACCTCCTATTCGGTCTCTTTCTACCCCTCATGGCACCCATGCATTTCCTTGGGAGTGAATGCACAGAACCCAGATGGCCATTCATCCCCTGATTACCTGCCCAACTGGACAATTCCTCCTCCACAGCCCCCAAAATGGTGCTTGAAACACCACAGTAGCTGTTACTCACATGTGGCTGCCCACACTCCCAAAGCAAGTGGGCTTCTGTTGCATCACATTCACCTATAAACTTTCAGGGATAGCCCCATGGAGGGCATATAGTGAGCATTTGCCAGGCAAATCAGGGTAAGTGGATGAACATCATCTTACTGCTGTCTTGAACTTTGTACAGTGCAGGTCTCCTGTAATATGCTTCCACTGATACTTCATGACCTCAGCTCCCTCAGAGAATACCCAAAATTTCCCCTCCTTGGGAAGTTTACTCAAAGGCAGCCATAGTTCTTCTTCTGGAATAAACCTGTCACACATGTGACTCTGTGCTAGTGATTATCCATGGATGTCCAAACCAGCTTGTGTTTCAAAGTCTACAGTGAAAAAATATTTCAAAGCAATCTCCTTACCCATCTCCATCAAGATGGATTTTCGTGTCACTCCACAGTCGGAGAACCATCCCAATGGTGCAGCTTTTACTATAGGGGGAAGAGAAGATGTGTAGAGTCAGCGCCCACCCACACACATGCACGGTCTTCCTTCTCTGTCTCTTTGCCCAGGCTTTCCAGCTCATGCAGGAGATCCCACTTGGGTGGAGCTGGGAGGAGCTCTTAGGCTATCTGCATGGAGACAGTTTACCCCTGAGCTGGGATGGCCCTGTGGATGCAACTCCATATATAAATGCTCAGCTAAGGCTTCACCGCAACACATGGAGAAGCCGCCGAGGGCTGGGCTGGGCTGTGCTGGCAGGGGCCATATGTATTCTGGGGTATACGGACAAGTCCCCACAGCCAGCCCCAGCCTTATCAGGGGTGGCAGGGCAGGGGAGAGAGCTCACCCCATTGCTGGCATTCACTCTAGGACCTGTGCTTTTGTACCTTTCATGTAGCTACTGTTTTACAAACTAGCTTAATCCGGTTTTGTTTTGCCCATCCTAACAGTGAAATGATACCTAATGACTTTAGCAACTGGCGCCACTGAAAAACACAGAAGGGAAGAAAGGCTTTATCAGAGGGTCTCCTTGGATTATTACAAAAATTCTTCAGGCATTTAAGAAAGAGTTGGCTTGTGAGAAACCACGTAACAGAGTCAAGGGCCAGCTCCCATGACCTTGGGAGTCTTGAGCTTCTATCTCTGCGGCCACTTAACAGCTCTCTCAGGGAGTACTGTCACATGTCCATGTACCCCGGGACAGGGCCTCTGGGGCTCACAGACCAGCTCTTCCTCCAGGGCAGCAACCCTTTCAACTCTGTACTCCTACACTGTGAAGAAGGGAGTTTCAAGGCCTTCCAACTGATTAGAAAGCCTCTGGGCTGGGGAAACTCCCAGGCCCCACTCTGTAGTCCTTCTCACTCTTGATGGACTAACGTGTATGCTGAGCCCCGAGGAGCTCTGGAGGCTGTGGTTGTGTCAGAGCCAGGAGGAGGCAATGAAGGGGTCCCCTTGGAGCCCAAGTCTGATGTGGGAAAAGCCACATGTCCCAGGTACGTGCAGGAAGACCAGACCTGAACACTGCTGACCCTCACCAGGACTGGGCAGAAGGCAGGTCATGGCACAAAGAGCTGCAGAGAACGAACACAAGCCAGGGGAGCAAAGCCTGGCCCAGGCCAGGAGGTGGACAGTTCAGGGCAGGCAGCGGCGGCAGGGACAAAGCTGCCCATGTGAAACAAGGGGGACACCTAAACCCCTCAGCTGGCCTCGCTTAAGCACAGAGATGGCCAAAGGACTGGTGAGCACTCCACCAGCAGGAGGAGTCCAAGAAGGACCTCCGCCCCTGGCCTTAAACTAAAGCCAAAAGCATGAAGCAGAGACCACGTATGGCTGTGACAGCTCTGCAAACCGTCTGTCATCCCACACCTAGTATTTGTGCAAATTTCTAGTAGTCCTATAATAGTTAAGAGTACTATTTCTATAAGGAAGGCGGGCCTATGGGGTTCTATATATGGGAAGGAGGGAAGGGAAATGCAGGTATGGAAACTGGATCTGTTAGAGGAAGAATGACCCTAAGGATAAAGCCAGTGGAAGCAACTCCAGAAGAAAGCAGGCTCAGAGTCCTGGGGGCCTCACTGCGGGAGGAGAGAAGCTGGATGGGCCTGGAGGTCCAGGCAGAAGACAGGCCTGTCCCGAGCCCCCATGGACAACAAACACTAGTGCGTGGAGGTATATGCTCATAGCATTCAAAATTCTCCCAAATCCAAAACAAAAAATTAATCCATGACTGAACCCTCAAGTGGCTGCCTGGGTCTCCCGAAGAAGCACATGTAGACATAAAATTCCAAGCAAGCGAGTGAGTGAGCAAGCTGGCTGCAGCCATCATTCCAACACTATCTTTTCCAACACTGCACTCGGGCTCCCTAGGAAGACGCCCTCTGGGACCAGTGCTCCTCTCTTTCTTTGTTAATGAACTAAGGAAAAAAAATCTCATGGCAGGAATTTAGAAAAACAAGTATATCACACCCTCAGCAGGCCAAAGGCTTCTGGTGAGGACCAGGATTTGTTTTCAAAAAAGGGAGCACATGAGAGCCTGGTGCCCAGGCAGCGTGGGGGCTGCAGAACACCCAGTTCCAGCCCCCCAGGATGCCCGAGCGTGGTGACAGCTGCATCAGGCCTGACAGCAGGAAGGCTGGCTTAGTTCATTCCCCACCAGACTCCTGCTTGTCTCATGTGGCCTCTCAACTACCCACTGCAGCCTCCAGAGACCAGGCCTGGCCTCAGGGTTGGCTCCTCTGGGCAGGCTGTGGCTCAGCTCAGAGAGCACAGAGACTCGGGCCTGAGAGTAGAGTGCACGGTGGAGACAGGAGGACCACAAGGAGAGGGGGCCTGCGAGGAGCAAGGCCGGGTGCCCGGAGGAGACAGAGGGAGGAAAGGGCAGCAGGGAAGAGCACGTCAGAGTCAGTGGGAGCCAGTACACATGTCCGTCCACCCCAGCTGGAAAAGAATGGCCTGAAGGGAGAGTGTGTGCATGCAACGTGCACCTGTGACCCCTGGCATGAGCTCTGTGAGAGCACAGGCATGCCTGACATGCTCAGGGCTGCAGCAGGGCATGTGGCACAGGGAAGAGTCACCCAGCATGGACACAACGAGCTAGGATAAAGGAACCAGTGAGGCAGTGCATGGGAGAGAAGGGCCGCACGTTGGGAAGGAATGCATGGGCTGGCACAAGGTAGATATCCAGGCAAAACTTCGAATCTGAGTCCCAGCTCGGCTACTCACTGGGATGGCCCTGGCACAGTCACGGCAGCCCCAGGAGCTTCTAACTCCTCACACACGGAATGTGCGGCAGGGCTACCCACACACAGGGGATGTTCCTGGAGGCATTCTGCTAAGCATACTGGACTCTATGGCTAAGCAATAGAGGGGCCTGGGAGGAGCACTGGGCTTCTGCATGGCTCCCACAGTTAGGACCACGATGATGGGTATGCCCGCGAGGGGCAGATGTCAGTCCAGAATGGTAAAGTACTGCTGGAATAAACCATGCTGAGTAAAGAAGTCTGCCCTGAGAGAGTGCAGAAAGGCCGGACCGCCCCTGGAAGAACAGGCACAGCAGCAACACTGTGAAACACCAAACGCCTCACGCCATGCGGATCACAGCCAGAAAGCCCAGCTCAGGCCAGCCTAAGAGCACCTGCCTGGTGGTCTCCCGACATAATGACCAAGCCTCAGCTCTCCAGGGGGCTCTCCAGGGGGCTCTGCATGGTGCTCCTAACACACGGTGTACCACGCATTCTTCCAGACCCAGCTCCCCGATCAGCCCAAGGCCACAGGTGCCAGCCCAAACTCCAGTCCCCATGTGTTCGCAGGCAGTTTTCTCATGAGGTCATTTTTTATGTATTAGAGGGAGGGGCAATTCATAAAAGAAACGTCCTCCCCTTTTTATTCGTTTACCTCTAACAAGCAGCTGAGTCTTAGTCGCTGGCATGGGACTCATAGAAGCTCTCATGGGAACAAGAGAAGACTGCACAGTCACCATGCCACTCATGCTCCCTGACTCACTTCCTCTGCTGCTGATTCTGGCTGAAATGCTCTTCAAATGCCTCTCCCTACTCTGCCTAGACTGGGAACTTGCCGTATTGCCCCTCATCCTTTAAGATGGCTTGGGAACCATACCCTCCAGAAAGTCTCTGCCATGTGCTCTCAACAGCCTCCTCCACCCCCTCCAGGCTTCTCACAAAACCCTAGTACCTCTCCCCCACCGACCCGCTTCCTCTCATATCTGGTTGTGGCATCTTCTAAACTAAACTTATGGACCCCTTGGGCTCAAGATTGTGCATACTGCTGCTCATTGCTTCATACACAGGAGAATGTAAACATATTATATGCTTAATGAATGATTAATTAAGAGATTGTACTTTAATCTAGTTTTTTGTTTGTTTGCTGTTTTTTGAGTCAGGTCCTCACTCTGTCACTCAGGCTGGAGTGAAGTAGCATAATCACAGCTCACTGTAGCCTCAACCTCCTAGGCTCAGGCAATCCTTCTGCCTCAGCCCCCCAAGTAGCTGGGACTACAGGTGCACACCACTATGCCCAGTTATTTTTTTTATTTTTAGTAGAGATGAGGTCTCACTATGTTCTCTAGGTTGGTCTTGAACTCCTGGGCTCAAGCAATCCTCCTGCCTCACCCTCCCAAAGTACTGGGATTACAGGCGTGAGCCATCATGCCTGACCTTGCTGTATCTAGTTTTAACAAATTCAGATCTGCGATGATCTCACAAACATCAATTTATCCTAGATGTCAGGGGAGCCATACACCGTCGCATCACACATATAATAAGGTTTATGATATAATTACTTAACCTACAGTTAGTGGGAAATTCCAAGCCTCTCCTAAAGCCTCTGACCAAGGACCTGCCATGAAGTCCTTGGGAATCCGTGGACTAGCACTACTGGGTCAGGTGCTTGAGACAAAGCCTACCAATCACACATTTCTAGATGAGTTGCCTGCCCAGAAGGCATCTGCCCTGCTCTACTTGGCTGACTCCAGTGTGCTCTTTGGTGTTCAGAGAACCACTCCTTCACCTCCTTCAGGAAGCACTCCTGGCTAAGGAGCTTCTCACTGCAACACCTAGTGTTAATCCTCTAAGCACAGTGGAACTTTCTATCCTCTCAGTCGACCCTGAATTCCCTGGCAGCAGAGACTGGATCTGGCACAGTGCTCAGCATACAAGAGCTGAAATACATGCCCTGTCGTTCTCAGAACCTCAGTCTCCCCCCACGCCCCACCATTCTCAGGTCTAATCTCTCCCTTATCTCACGTGGATGTGGGACCATGGAAGCCTTTCTCCAGCAGCAGCTCTTGCCCGCCTCGCAGAAGGGACCCACTATCCCATCAGACTCACCTTTCCTTACTGGAGAAGTCCACTCCCAGCAAGATATTCTCCTCCGTGTCCTGGCGCCCGCTGCTGTACACCACCACCATGTACCGCACCCGGTCCACCCAGGCACTCTCCAAGCGCACAGCCTGAAACGGGGCAGAGATGCTCTCAATGGCTGCCTTTGGAGACAGTACCTCCCTCCTGTCCCCACACCTAAGTCAAGCATGTTAGTTTTAGCTGGGCACGGTGGCTCACGCCTATAATCCCAGCACTTTGGGAGGCTGAGGTGAGCGGACTGCCTGAGCCCGCGAGTTTGAGACCCACCTGGGCAACTTGGCAAGACCTCATCTCTACGATAAAATTAGCCAGGCGTGAAAGTGTGTGCCTGTAGTTCCAGCTACCTGAAAGGCTGAGGCGGAAGGCTCGCCTAAGCCCAGCAGGTGGAGGCTGCAATAGCTGTAAGCATGCCACCGCACTCCAGCCTGGGTAACAAAGTGAGACTCCAACTCAAACAAAAGAAAAGAATGAACATTAGTTTTCTACCCTTCCCTCTGTGAGTTACAAAAGAAGGTGAAATCCTTGAAGGCAAAAGCCAGGTCTCGTTTACATCCCTAGCACCAGGGCAGAGCCTGGCTCAAAGGAGACACGCAAAATAAGCGAACAAATGAAATCCAGAGAAAGAAACTTCTCACTTAGCACAATTTGCAAGAGACCTGGTTCCTCCCTCCCCTGGCCCCTCTGGGGTACTGAAGAGTAAACCTGGCTTCAGCTTTTGGGCACGATTTGGGAGAATCTGGGGTAATGTATAAAGTTTTTCCAGCTCTTGTTCATGAATGGTTCCCCACCAAGTTTCACAATTAAAAATTAAAACGTGCTACTCTCATCACTTCTTACCAGCTTGATTCTGTCTTCACAACGCAGAAGGTTGATCATTACTTGAAGATGTTGAGGCAGGTCACCTGTTGGATCAATGAAGAAAGTTCTAAAAGGGCTCCCACCTACTTCCTAGAAAAATCCTCTGGAAGGCTCATTTTGAAGGTCTGGAAGAAGACTCAGAAGTCTACCTACACTACAGAAGAAACATCCCAGAAACTTACAGTTTTGGTTTCTCCAACTCTACCCATGAGTATTGAATGATGAGGACGGGTGACATAGAGCTTACTTAACTATAATTATTAACAGTTGCTTTTATTTTCTGAAATATGTGCAATATAGGTTTTTTTTTAAAATACAAAATTTGGAAAATACAGACAAGTCTAGAAAAAAATGTTATTTCACTCAAACAAATACCAGTTGGCAGGTTGGGGTAGCCAGAAACTACACCCATGGCTGGAAGTAAGGTATTTATAAGAGTTAATCTGAGAAAAAAAGGATAGAGTGTCATTTTTCCTCTTCAGACTATTCTGTATTTTCCATAAGAGACAGATATCATTTCTACAACTGGGGGCAGGGGGAAATGTTTAAGTGACTCTATAGATAGTAGCTATATGTTGGGCACCTCTAGGTTACAAATAATTCACGTAGACAACAGTCTGTTATTTTCTCTTTTCTTGCCAAAAATTAATTTTTTCCTTCATTATTTCAAAGAAGCAGTGGCCAGGCACAGTGCCTCAAGCCTGTAATCCCAGCACTTTGAGAGACCAAGGCAAGAGGATTGCCTGAGCCCACGGGTTCGAGACTAGCCTGGGCAACTTGGTGAGACCTCATCTCTACAATATATCAAAAAAAAAAATTAGATGGGCATGGTAGCATGCACCTGTAGTTCTGGTTACTTGGAAGGCTGAGCAGAAAGATCACCTGAGCCCAGCAGGTCAACGCTGGGGTGGCTGGCCGTGAACATGCTACTGCACTCCAGCCTGGGCAACAGAGTGAGAGTCTGACTCAAAAAAAAAAAAAATGTAGTTGTAATCCAGAACTGACTTTTTTTTTCCTCCAAGAGAGAGCACCATCTGTATAGCATTTATTTTTCCAGCCTTATTTTTTTTATTATTTTATTTTAAAGATGTGGATTACAACTCAGGATTAGGTGCATAAGTGGTCATCATTGGGCCTCTCTTTGGTCCTCACTTTGCCTGGTTTGGGATCAGGTATCCTTATTAATGTTATATGCCCACCTTGCGGGCTGGCTTTTGAACCCCTCTAATCTGCCCCAGAGTTTAGGAGGTGTCTCTGGGTACAGTGAGGAAAGCTTCTTACCACTGAAGTGACTCCCAGCCAAGCAAGAGTATCTAAGAGAAGAAGGGCATACAGTGGGGTAAAGCTGTAACTGAGGTACCTGATTAGAAAGTAGCAAGTATGACTCTAATGCTGCTCTGTCCTTTAGCTTATACATTTTGCTTTATAATTTTTCATGGTTTTTTTTTTCTGAAGAAAAGGTTCATCTATAAAGATGTTGCTGATCTATAAGAAAGGTCAAGAAATAACTCATAGAAGTCGGTATCAGTTTCAATTTTGAGCTACATTCCAAATAATTTCTTTAAAAAAAATTCTCACCAGGTGTGGTGGCTAACCCCTGTAATCCCAGCACTTTGGGAGGCCGAGGCGAGAGGACTGCCTGCACCCACAGATTCAAGACCAGCCTGGGCAACATGGTGTGACCTCGTCTCTATAATAAATCAAAAAATTAGTTGGGCACGGTGGCACACACCTGTGGATCCAGCAGCTTGGAAGGTTGAGGCAGAAGGATCACCTGAGCCCAGCAGGTGGAGGCTGGGGTGGCTGTGAGCATGCCACTGCACTCCTGCCTGGGTGACAGAGTGAGACTCTGACAAAAAAAAAAAAAAATTCTAAAGATCACAATTAGAACCTCAGAAGGAGTAATACTGCTTACACACTCAAATGCTCCAGAAGCAAACATTGTGCTTGTTCCTTTTGCAAAAGCATCCTTCTCATTGTAAGGCAGGGTGACATATGATGTCCAAATTGCACTTCTTGCCTCAGGGAGGGTCCAGATCATTAGAAACTTGCTCAGCTAGTTAAAAGGGTAGGTCTTAGCTGGGTATAATGGCTCATGCCCATAATCCTAGCACTTTAGGAAGCTGAGGCAGGGCCAAGAGGTTGAAATCAGCCTGGGCAACATAGCAAGACACTCCCTCTACCTACAAAAAAAAAAAAAAAGAGAAGAAATTAGCCAGGTGTGGTGGCATACACCTGTAGTCCCAACACTTTAGGAGACTGGAGCAGGAGGGCTGCTTGAGCCCAGGAGTTCAAGAACAGCCTAGGCAACATAGCACGACCTCATCTTTACAAAAAATCAAAAAATTAGCCAGGCATGCTGCTGCGCGGCTGCAGTCCCAGCTACTCAGGAGGCCGAGGTGAAAGAATCACCTCAGCTCAGGAGGTCAGGGTTGCAATGAGCTGTGATCATGATCATGCCACTGCACTCCAGCCTGGACAACAGAGGAAAACTTTGAAAAAGGAAGAGAAGGAGGGAGGGAGGGAGGGCAAATCTCATGTTAAGCATTCCACAATACATTTGTCTAGAAAAGAACCAGGCCCCTCACCCCTCTGCTCTGTTCTCTCCAGTTACAGGATTCCTCAGTGTGTCATACCCTACACTGACATCACATTCTAGGAGAAATAATTTGGAGATAACCATCCACATTACGGAGGACATAGAGCCCCCTTTCCCCACTTGTCACGTCACCAATGCCACACAATCATCACGGGCTAGTTCTTCACTTGTCTGGGTCCTCTCACCAACCCCCCCGCACCGAGTCACAGAGCTGCACGGAGGGAAGCAAAAACAAATCCCTTGTCTGATAAATGCCTAAATGAAAGGGACATTTTCCACACAGATAAACTCCTTTCAGTGGAACTGTTTGCTGAGATATGGAACTGCTGACAGACAGAAATTCAATCGCCAGTCAGACATCCACACACAAAAAAATCAGAGAATATAAGCCCTAGAAAGGGTCCTAAATTAACTGGACTGGCTGAAACAAACTGAATTACTTTTACATGGATAGAATTAACCCTCGACTATACTTATCTCTGCACAGTGGTTACTAGGGGGACTCTGGTTCATTCAGGGGACCTGATGGTAATTCTAGGAAAAAAAGAACGAAAGTAAGGTCTAGTCTGTGCCTGTCCCAAGGGCATTTATGAGCATCCATGGCTGGCTGGCGGCCCCTCTGCCTTCCTGATCTCACTGTCCATTCCAGACCTCGGGGGCAGAAGACCAACCAGCCAGTGGCTTGCTTCCTACATTCCTATTCTTTGAATTAGAGAAAGGAGACATCTGATATTTCGGGAGCAAAGTTTGACCGTTTGCTTTGTGTGTACATTACAGTTAAGACATGAACAATGGCTAAATTCCTAAAAGGGCAGAATTATTAGCAAATTCAAGAATGAAGAACCAGGCTGGTTACGGTGGCTCACACCTATAATCCCAGCACTTTAAGAGGCTGAGATGAGAGGACTGCCTGAGTTCACGGGTTTGAGACTAGTCTGGGCAACTTGACGAGACCTCGTTTCTACAACAAATCAAAAAAATTAGCCGAGCATGGTGGCACATGCCTGTAGGTCCAGCTACTTGGAAGGCTGAGGCAGAAGGATCACCTGAGTCCAGCAGGTCGAGGCTGCAGTGGCTGTGAGCGTACCACTACACTCCAACTTGGGAAACAGAGGAAGACTCCAAACAAACAAAAAGAAAGCAGAGCCTATTTATAGTTTTATTATAGTAGACGTCATGGTAGTAATAACTATAGCTATCCATATATATACATATACACACACACCAGGGATCCCTCCCAAAAACGTATATGCATTTTAAGAGATGTTATCTATGCATTACTTTTAGTTTGCAGTAATCAGAAGTGTCTAGATGCTGATGATAATAACCACTTTGAGCACCCCTCATAATTGCAAAAGTCAAATGTAACTTGTATTCATCTTTTGTTATAGATATATACTGAGTACTACAATTTTAAGTTTTTCCTATATACTTTTTTTGGAGTGGGGGGCACCTACTAAAAGGTAGATATATTACATGCATAATTTTAAATGTCCATACTGTCTGAGGTACCAGTATTTGATGCCCACTGAAAAGAACAGAAAACTGAAGCCAGATGCAGTGGCTCACGCCTATAAAGCACTTTGGGAGGCTAAGACGGGAAGATTGACTCCAGGAGTTCGAGACCAGCCTGGGCAACATAGTGAGACTTTGTCTCTACAAAAACTCAAAAGATTAGCAAGCAAGGTGTGGCGGCACACACATGTAGCTGGGAAGCTGAGGCAGGAGGATCGCCCAAATTCAGGAAGTTGAGACTACAGTGAGCCACGATTGTGCCCCTGTACTCTAGCCTGAGTGACAGAGTGAGACCCCAACTCAAAAAAAGAAAGGAAAAGAACAAGAACCAAGGCTCAGAAGTCGACCTAAGACTGACTGCTCAATAAGTTGCAGAACTGAAATCAGAAGCCAAGTCTGTCTGGCTCCAAAGCAAATATTCTTTCCACAAACCACACTACCTCCTTGTGTAGGACAATTATTTTCCTATCTTAAAACAGACCTAAATCTTGACCATAAGTATTAGTACCTAAAAATACTGAGTCTTGGTGTTTGCTATAAGCTGTAAAGTATGAAATTCTAACCTGAGCACTCAGCTCTAAAATGAAGTTGGATGACTTGAGGTTAAACAGACAACATGATCACGGGTGACAAGAAAACTGTCCCAAATGGCTAATAGGTTTCACCTGTGGCTGCTCTGAAAGGCAAAGGCCCTCCCAGCTCTCAGAGATTCAAATATGTGTTGCCTGTCCAAAAAATGCCCTGAGACGCTATCCGCCTATGGCAACGATTCACTTGCACGTGAGAATTTTTTGAATTCCTCTTTTCAAACAGCCTTCAGTTTCAAGTCAAGTCACCTAAGAAAACCAGTCTTATTACTTTATAGACATTTCTTCTTTGTTTGTTTTTGGACCTAAATTAATACTTAGTTTGATCCCAAGTTTCTGTCCATTCCCAAAAACCAAACTCTCCATTGAAGAATCAAAACTTCCCACCACAGGGACTAGCTCAGAGCGTGAGCCAAGGACTCTTCAAGAAATTCCTCAAATGAGTATTTTTCAAATGCTTGCAGAAATACCTCCCCAGACTAGGCAGACAGCACCTCAGAAGGTTATTGTCAAGGGGACAACATCTGGCTACAAGACAATTTGAAACATGTGTTAAAAAGTCATACTGTCACTTAAGATCAGCAGTTAACTGATAAGCTGTGTTTAGATACTTTTTGCAGTCCCAGCAGGACGCTGCTGCCCCCCTTAACTTCTCACCCAGACACACATGGTTTAAAAGGTTTGCTAGCTCCCAGTGCTACCTGGAAAACACACATGGCCTGCTCCAGGAAAGAGCACCTGAGCCTCTACCTGCACTGGCTGTTACATACCTGTATCCCACTTTTTCTCTAGCTTTAAAACCCAGCACATTGCTCATCACCCACAATGCCGTCCCCTGTGCACAAAAGAAGTTCCAGTGTAAGGGTATCAACTCAGAGCCCTCACCTGCATGCTTATGGGGGTGCTGGAGACTCCGCTGGCCTTGTGGGCTGTTTCCCTGTTGTAAGAAGAGGGCTGCTCCTTTCACCATGAAAAAGCTCTCACTTAAGCTGGGGGGAGAAAAAAAGCAGAGCGCAGTTAGACTGAAATTCAGGGAGAAAAATGGGCAAAAAAATGCTGCAGGGGAAAAAACTTTGGAGTGGACAAATGGCATGAGAAATGCAAATGGAATGAAGCTGCTTTTACAAGAATTTCACACGGAGCCCCGAACCTTGCCTTTGCTACAAGCTTGCTGCTGGAGTTTTCATGAGAAAATAATGCTTCTGCTACAAGACCCAAAGTTTTGCATGGGCACACCTGGGGCCAAGAGCTCCTTTCTGTAGAATACTGGAAAGGGCTCTCACATAATGTAACATTTTCTGAAAACAGAGAACAACTCCCTGATTAAGAGAGATGGCCTGCTTAGTGAATTTTCACCCTCTTGCTGTTTATCTTTGCCTCTAACTCTGACTTTTAACAATCCCATTGCTTCTTGGTTGGCGTCCCTTAATGAAATACGAGGAAGATGAAATTAAACTTTAACTAGTTGTTTGTATTTTATGAAAAATGGGTGGCTACTGACCTGTGATTTAACTTAGTCAAGGTTGCGCTGTCCAATTTCTGTGGAAAACCTCAAGTTGACCCAATGAATTTCTCAGCAGAATGAATCTTTGGTCTCTGTTACTCTAACTAGCAATAACATTTATATCAACCTGTACCTTTAAAAATGGCAACTTAAAAAAAACTTTCACTTTCATGATTTGGCTACCAAAAAAATTATTCAACTTATGTAAAAGTTAAGACATAGCAAAACAATATCTCAGCTATCAATTACTACTACTAATTATTCAAAAATACCATAACTCAAAATTAGTCATAAAATACACCCAATTAATAGTTTTTTCAGAGTAATATAAAACACATACTATATAGTAAAAGTAACATTTTAATTAACTTTATGATAGCAGTCCACAGTTCAAATTATAAGGAATTATAAAAATCATTCTCTCTTTAGCAACCAATTAACATATAAATGATGGTTTTGTGAAGGGAAAAACCTCTAAGAAAAAGTAGTCCTTTTTAAAAAATAGAAAATGGCGCGGTGGCTCAAGCCTGTAATCCCAGCATTTTGGGAAGCCTATTCGAGAGGACTGCCTGAGCCCAGAGGTTCGAGACCAACCTGGGATAACTTGGCAAGACCTTGTCTCTACAATAAATTTAAAAAAAAAAATAGAACCCTAAACTTAAGCAAGTCAATTCATGAAATACAAGGAATTTTTTAATGTAATATAAAAAAGGAAGATCACTTTTGCCCCAGGCATCTAACGTTAGTAGTTAGATGTTCTAATCCTGAAATTAAAAACTCAGCTAAGTCTAAGATACAACTGTAGGTGCCAACAAAATGCTGCCCGAACTAGCATTTTAAGTCAGCAGCTCCTGAAATCAGAAAAACTGTTATCTTCTGCTATTAAGTCTACAATATAATCTATTAGTTTTTCTGGTTGACTGTTCAAATGTTAAGGAAAAAGACTTAGTTCTGCTTCTCTTGCCCAGGCTTCTGAATTACTGACAACTGGTTTTATATATTTCATAATATCTATACTTTACATCTGCATAGCATTTTATCTGTTATTGCAAATGTACTGCCAAGTTATTCATTCCACACTATGACAGTTGCATATTTGTGCTGCAAATTCCAAGCGTTGCGGAGTCCAAGATAAAAAATATCAGAAGAAATGAGAAGCGCCCTTCCTCTACTGTCTCACCCTCACCCATGGAAGTAAAAGCCCATGAGCACCCATTTGGCCGTTTTAAGATCCAGGCTGTCTTATTTTAGCAGGCTGCAGAATCACCTAACCCTTTTCTACCCCTAAAGCGCGTCATCCTCTCCTTCCTTAGAATTTTACAACCAAGTCTGTTTCAGAGTTACTCTGTTTTCAGCACAGACTACTTACTACTTGTGCAAGATACTCCAAAACCCATGACACTTAAAACAGCAATCAACTGTGGAAAGCAGCTGGGGAAATCTTTTCAAGGCAACATCAACCTTTTTTGTTCATGAGTTAAAAAAAAAAAATTCATACTGACCAGAAACCCGGAGCACTCTGAAAGCAGCCAACCATTAACAGAGACCTTTGTCTTGGAAATCATAGGCAAAAAGTCCCCTTCAGTTGCCCTTACATTTCCTTTGGAAAAGAAAAGGGAACAAGGCAAAAGTACAAAATGGTTTTACCCTGTAATCACTTACAAGGCCAGTGTTGTTCCTCCGTGTTCCTAGCCTGGTAAGAATCAGAGCCTCCCCCACACATGAAGTCGGGGATTGCAGTGACTGGGCCCGGGAACACCCTGTCTCCCCATGACAATCAGGAACAGGCATTTACTGTAAGGAGCAGGACCAGAAGCTGCAGGGAAGCCCAAGGAGCACATTATTCCCAGGCTGTGAGATCACCCTGTATCTTGCGAATACGGTAAGGGGATACAGCAAGAGGAAAACCACACAAGAGGACTCTCAGCAGGTGTGGTGGGAGGCCGCAGAGCGTGGTCAGTCATGGGATTTATGAAAACAAGATGCAGATATTCTCCATGACCTGGCTTCTGTTCTGAGCTCCATGCAGGTTCGGAGCCTCAGGCGCCCTCTGTGTGGCAGATTCAAAAGCTATTTCCTACAGCCAGGGCCTTATGTGGTCTCTCTGCCTGGCTTCTTAACGCTGAGAGGCACAGGACCACGACTCACCAGAGCCTCAAAGTGCCCCACTGAGGAAGGCTGTGAAGACACCCACATGGGTGGTGGTACACATTCTAGGTACCCAGGGCCAGGAAGCCCAAACCCCCAAAACCACCCATCCCAGCTACAGAAAAATCAGCCTTCTCACCAGAGATTTTAGTCACCAAAAAGAGTGACTAAAGTCATAGACCCAGATAAACAAAACAGAAATGTCTTCCTTCATTGCTTTAAGAAAAATCTTTGGCAGGGGGTGGGAGAGAGACAAGGTCTTGCTATGTTGTCAAGGTTGGTCACGAATTGCTGGCCTCAAGTGATCCTCCCATCTCAGTCTCCCAAAGTACTAACTTTATTGACGTAGGCCACGTGCCTGGCCACTTTAAGAAAAATCTTGACAAGGGATAAAAAAGGTCCAGCCACTGCCCTCCCTACCTGCCATCCTCAGCACTTTTATCTCCACAACACAAATCTGTTCTTGGACACTGATTACTGCCATTCGGGAAACTTCATAAGATTAAAGTTTCTCCAGAGTACTGAAGACAGACAAAAATCTCAATCAATGCTCCTCTAAAAACCCCAAACCCTCAGAATATAAACAGCCAGTGTCATCCAGAGACCAATAAACAGAAGGAAAACAGAAATCAGGGTGGCAATACATACTAATTTGGGCTGGAAACCTCTGAACAGCAGAAGTACTGAGTTGGCCAAAGGAAGATGCAGCAGTCAGTAAAACAAAAAAGGCTCCTGGCTGCCACATTCATATCCTTGACACCCTGCAGGCCTCCCACCATCCACCCTAGAAAAAGGAATGGCCAGGAGGAGGCTGGTGGGTCCTTTAGTGAAAGCCGTGGCATGGAGTCTTCCTCGGATGCCATCCCCACCCAGAAAGCAAGAGGCTTTTGTGGCCCTCTTGACTTCCCCTGATATTCTGGCTTAAAAAGGCCCTTGTCCCAGCACATCCTGATGAAAGAGGGCCATTTAGAGGGAGCAAAACAGCTGAAGTTCCTCCAATCACTCAACTCCTACAGGTTTTTCCATAGGCCTAAGGAACAGGCCAACAGCGCGTGCAGGAGACACCATGAGGGACACAGCTGGCCACCGGGGAGCCAACACCACCCATCAGGACTCCCTTAGGGACCAAGTAGACATCTGAAGGGTGTCTCTTTCTTTCAAATCATCATCCTTCACCCAACAGCAACGTGGGCAGCTGCCATACTAAGCTATTCCACATTCTGAGCATTCATTCTTCAGTTGTACTAAAAGATACTTGAAGGGATACGCCAGGCAGAGGGAACCCCATGCACATATACGAGGAGCTCTGACATACTTGCAGTGCCCAGGGCAGGTCAGGCCACAAAGGTCCCAAAGGACAGGGATGTGATCCCAAAACCCACCCACCAGAGGCTGGTCAAGAGCTGTGTTTTTAGTGCTTCTTAAAGTCAGTGAAATAAATCTGGGATATGACTAACCAAAATGCAGGGCAGAATGGGATTAAGCATGCTAAGAAAGGAACTTGGCTAAGGTTTGCAAGAGAACAGAGGGAGCATTTAACTGGTTCTGAAACACTTCCTCAAGGAGGCAGCACTGAATAGGGGCTTCTAGGAAGACCTTGTCTAGAAGCTTCCCCCAGTGTCCAGACGACCAAGCAATCCTCCCTAAAGGATTAAGTGAAACACACACCACCGTTATTCTTACTTTGCAGGTGAGGAAACTCCAGTTTGCCTAGGAGCATACATCTTTACAAGACAGGACTAGACTTGGGTCTATCTGCCCAACGCCCACCTTCTTCACCCCTGGAATGCTGTTCTACTCGTCCAGAGTGAAAACCAGAGCCGTTATGCCACTGTTACCTCTGCCCATGCCTGCCCAGGTGGCTGACAGCAATACCACTGCTTGGGTTCAGCTAAACCACACATCATTGAGAAGTCAGACAAGGATCTCGTCTTCCCAACATTTGAATGCTTCATGCACAGAAAAGAAAGAGAAGGAATGAATCGGGAGAACAGAACTCCAGAAAGAGAAGACTCTGCATCAGGGTTCTTCCACCTCCCCCATGGGCAATCAGAAGGATGGGAGACCCACTGCGTCACCCTACCCACTGCTGCCACCGCAGTTACGGGACAGGACACAACCTTCAGTCCTTCTGCACAGAATGGGAACGCTGAGGAGTTCTGTGAGTGGCATAGCCACACTGGCCAAGAAGTGGCTTTCAAAGCAGGTTTCTCATCGAAAGGGCTATTATTTACTGAGCACCACCACGTGGCCGAGATCTTACGAGACACTTAGCTATGCCATGCCACTGAATTCCTGCAGCTCTGCAGGACAGGTATTATTTTCTCCAAAGGAAGGGCGCCAGTCAAGGCATCTGAAAAATAATCTCGAGGGACAGCATGGATAACTCCTGTTGTGGTGCTGGTGCATATCAAGGCTTAAGAAAATAAAAACAACGGCCTGGGAATCCATATTTGGGGGTTCCAATTTATAGAATTATATGTATTTCCTGACATTCCCTTGCAAGGTTCTGTTCAATCATTCAAATTGCCAAATATTTGCAGACTGTGAAGGACAGGGCCACGCCAAGCCAGCTCAGTCACCAAAAAGGGCAAAGATAACATGCTCTTTAAGGAATGGGTATAAGCACTGGTGTGTGCTGTGCCACTCAGAAACATCATTCCATGAAGAACAAGAACAGCAGGTGCCGAAACACCACTACAGAATCTCATGCAAATGCCCCCTAATTTCTAACTCTTGTTATGTATCCAGATAACCTCTGACACTTCAAAAACACACTTGTACCCAGGTACAGCCTCAGCAGAATCTAATTCAGCAGGTCTATGATGAGTATGATGAGACCTGGGCACTAGCTATATTTATTTTATTTTATGTATTGTATTATATTTTTTTGAATTAGAGTCTCGCTCCATCGCCCAGGCTGAAGTGCAGTGGCATGCTCATGGTCACCCCAGCATTGACCAGCTGGGCTCCGGTGATCCTTCTGCCTCAGCCTTCTAAGTAGCCGGAACTACAGGCGTGCACTACAACGCCCAGCTAATTTTTGATTTATTGTAGAGATGAGGTCTCGCCAAGTTGCCCGGGCTGGTCTCAAACCTCAGGCAATCCACTCACCTTGGCTTCCCTGAGTGCTGGGATTACAAGCTGAGCCACCGAGCCCAGTCAGCAATGACTTTTTTAAAGTTCTAGAGGTGCTTCTGATGCACAGTCAAAGTTAAGAACCCTGGAATTAAATGACAACAGAAAATACAGTGAAAACTGGCTTCTCCCACGGGCTTCATCATCATCCTACACATAAGTGCAAGATCAATGTTTTCTGCTGGTAAAAAATAGCACCAACAAAAATACATGGTCCTCTCAGAAGGGGAATAACACGGTTAGGTACAACAAGGGAGGTCGTACTAGAGTCCAAGCCAAAATAATACCCTCTATGGAAACAACAAAACAGGTATTTAGAAAAGGAAAAAAGAAAAAAATGAGAACAGAAATATCCTAATCAGGAATGAAAGAAGTGCCATTATCACCGCTGACAGTGCAAAAATTAAACACCTTATAAAAAAAGATCATGGGGAAAAAACCAGATATTAGTCTTCTACTACACACTTTCAGAGTTCGCAAATATCCTTGTCCCCTAAAGGAGGCCCTGCATTATGACGATGTAAAATGATGGCAGTAATGACAACAGATCAGACCCTGATGAGCTCTGCTATGGACAGCCATTCTGGTGAATGTCAATACATCTGATCTTCACAAAACTCTGAGGCAGACCAAGCAGGTATTATTATACTAATTTATACCTAAAGAAACAGAGAGTTACTTATGTGGGAGGATGTTAGGATTTCTGATGCTACGGCTTGCAAAAAAATCAGAGAACATGAGCCAAGAGAAGAGGCTCTGTAAAGGGTCCAAAATTGACTGAACTGGCTGACACAAATGGAATTCCTTTTACATGGATAAAGTTAACTCTCACCCCTACCCAGCTCTGCATGTTGACTACTGTGGAGAATGTAGCACGTCCAGCAGGTTTAATGGCAATTCTAGGAAAAAAAGGAACTAACATAAAGTTGCCACCACAGAAGAGATGGGTGCCAGTGAGCGTGCCAAAGAGGAGGCTCCGTCAGTTCTATTGAGATGAATAAGTACTTATTGAGCATTTATGGTGCCAAGTCAGCGCTAAGCCTTGGGGATTTAAAAATGAAACAGACACAGCTCCTGCCCCAGAGCAACATGACAGTCTAGTGGGTCAGACAGGCCCAGGGCAGAGTACAAGTTCTACCGTGGAAGAATGCACAGGGTGCTGTGGGCGTGAACGCAAGCACCACTCCAGTGAGTACAGTGACTCTGATGTACACCAAGGCTTAATAAGAAAACTAAAAACTATGGTCTGGGAATTCGTATTTCTGAGTTCTAACTTACATTCTATTCTATGTCTGTTCCGCCATCCCCTCACAGGGCTCTGTTCATTCATTCAAACAGCCGAATGTTTGCAGAGTCTGGAGTACAGGGCCAAGATAAGTCAGCCTACGCATTGATAAGGGC